CGTCGTGACCTACATCCACTCTCGATTCCTCTTCACTCGAGGCCACCGGCTTCCACTACCGATCTTCTTTCCAACGAACGAAGATCAACTACCCTTACAATTCTTTCTCCTCTTCATAGGTTTAGGATATGGAGGAGGGAACTCAACTTTTTAATAAGGATTGCAACCTTAGAATCACAAAGTTTTGTTTTGCTTTTCATGCTTCCTCAAGCATAAAAGATTGGGGTATTTATAGACCCCAAATGACTTAAAAAATTGGAGCGAAAAATTTGAATCCCCGGGATTTTGGGGTACTACCGGTACCACCACCAGTACTTTCTGACATTGGGCGGTACCACCACCCAGTCTGGCGGTACTACCACCTGACACCCTGACACTGGTGGTACCATTGCCTGACACAGTCTAGGAGATTGTGTTTGGGCGGTACCATCGCCTAATCTAGCGGTACCACTACCTGACACAGTCTTAAAGACTGTCTAGGCGGTTCCACCGCCAGACTCTACTACAAGACATTGAATAAGCCAAACAACAAGCCCAATTCAGCCCTAATTTAGGCCAAATTGGCCTATAATCAACTTGACATGGTTACACCTAAAACCAACTCAATTAGACCTAACTAACTAGATATAGACACACACGATTACAAGCATGGATCTTATGTTGTCCGGTATGTCATTGGTTCATTCGATACTTCATCCGATCCTTTCGGCGTATCGTCCTCTCTTGTGGGGTATTGCCCAATCGGCATGTTGACCTCCGCAACATCCGATCTCCTTGGCGCAATGTCTGATCCTTTTGACCCGATGCCCAAACTCATGTCACGAAGCCTTCTGCCGATATGTCGACCGATCCTCCGGCTCGACGTCCAATTTTCTAACATGTTCCACTCTGGCCCAACGTCCGATTCCTCCTGCTTTAATCGATTTGCTTTTTCTGATCGAAGTTAGTTTTGCGTCACTCAAAACGTAGATTAGATCGTAAACTCATTAATTGATTTCATCATCAAAATCCGAGATTCAACAAGAGGATCATTGACAATGCTAAAAAGAGTGAAGGAATTTATTAGCTTGAAGATCAAGGTTTTTAATTTCGAATGATACTACCGGTACCGGGCGGTACGTATTGGTCCGCTAGCAGACCGGTACGCGGACCGCCTGCTACTAGGCCGTACCGTCGATTGGGGTTGTTTCCGCCCCGTTACCATACGAAATCGATCGGTGACGGTCGATTTTGACCATCGCCGCCCGCTATAAGCGGTATTAGCCGAGGGAGAAGGAAGAAGAGGGAGAAGAAGGAGAAGAAAAGGGAGAACTTGGAGATCCGACCCCGCTCTCCCTTGACGATCCCGATCCGTCGTCGCCCTCCCTCGCCGAACGCCACAGATGAGATGTCGCCTCCTCCTCGTATGAGGCGACGAGGCCTCGGTGTCGTCAGCGGCTTCTCCTCATCCGCGTAGGAAGAAGCCTCGGCGTCGTCAGTGACTTCTCCTCATCTGCACGGGGAGAAGTTCGCGGGGAGAAGAAACAAGGTGACGTCGCCTCGACGATGTCACCCTTTTTTTTATTTTTTAACTTTTATATTATATATATATATATATATTTATTAATGATCATACAAGAGTATGTTGGGTCTACCTCTTAAAAGAAAATTTTGATGCTAAAAAAACTTTTAAGAACCTTTATATTATGATCCAAAATCAATTCCAAGCAAAAATACAAGTTTCTAGAACTCACAATGGTAGAGAATACTTTAATACTATTCTAGTGTTCTCGATTCCTACTTGTTAGATTATAGAATAATTCACCAACTTCATGTGTTAATAGCTCCCAACAAAATGGTATTGCAGAACGAAAAAATAGACACCTACTTGAAGTAACATGCTTTCTCTCATTTGCCACTTATGTTCCTGAATATCTTTGGGGAGATATCATTCTTACTACTTCTTATTTGATTAATTGGATAACTACCAGACTATTTAATTTCTAAACACCTCTTGATTGTTTATCTACCATTTATCCACATGTAGAACCATTTAACTCTCTTCCACTAAAGGTGTTTGAGTGCATTGCTTTTGTCTATATTCATAACCACCATCGAAATAAACTTAAACATTGTGTATTAAAGTATGTTCATTGGCTACTCCTTGGCTCAGAAGGGTTACAAATGTTATGATACTATATCAAAAAAAATATGTCACTATAGATGTCACATTCTTTGAAAACCAAATATATTTTCAAAAGACTCCTCTTCAAGGGAGAATTCTAACTAGGAAGATTGTGTTCGGGAACCGTCTCTACCAATCCCTATTTTCTTATCAGATTCATCTCCTACTTTCACTTTACTAAACCTATCTAGCCAACAACTAACTAGTCCTATTAATACTCCTGAACCTAAATCTCTGGCACCACAACATACTATTGGACAGCCTACTTTAAAGAAAGATGTCATTGTTATTGCACCTAAGCTACATGTGTATTCAAGACAGTGAAATTTAGAAAAGGTTGATGTTCACCCTCTTGAGTACCGCAGAGTCTGAACCGATAACAGATCCAAACACACGTAACCCTATTCCTTCCTTGAATCTTGATGTTCTCATTGCCATTGAAAAAGGAATTAGACCTTGTATGATGCATCATATATCTAAATATGTGTCTTATCATAGATTGTCTTCAACCTTTAAGGCTTTTACAACTCACTTGTCTAGTTTAGAAATTTAAAAAAAGATACAGGATGCTCTATTAATTCTAGAATGAAGAGAGAGTTATGGAGGAGATGAGAGCTCTTCAAAAGAATGATACTTGTAGCTTGGCGCATTTGCAAAAGGAGAGAAATCCAGTGGGATGCAAATGTGTGTCTACTGTTATATACAAGGCATATGGTTCTATTAAAAGATATAAAGCCAAATTAGTTACAAAATGATTCACTCAAATATATGGTATTGACTACCAAGAAACATTTGCTCCAGTTATAAAACTAAATACTACTTGAGTATTGTTATCTCTTGTAACTAATTTTGAGTAACCTTTACATCAATTAGTTGTGAAAAATGCCTTAATGGAGAACTGGGTGAAGAGGTATATATGGATATACCACTCAGTTTTGAGAATCTGTAAATCTCGAATAAGGTGTGCAAGCTGAGAATATCTCTTTATAGTCTCAAGTAATCACCATGTGCATGATTTGAGATATTCATGAGGTCAATTCGTGGCCATGGCTACCCTCAAAGTCACTCAGACCATACAATATTCTATAAACACTCTAATAAGGGAGACATTGCTATTCTTATATTTAATGTGTACAATATTATCCTAACAGACAATGATATCTCAGAACTAGAGAAATTGAAGCATATCCTAACCAAAGAGCTTGAAATTAAATATCTTGGCCGGCTAAGATATTTCTTGAGCATAAAGATAACGAGATCAAAGAACAGGATATTTATTTCATAAAAGAAATACACCCTAAACCTTCTAAAAGAAACAGGGATGTTTGGTGAAACCTATGGATACTCTAATATATCTCAATTACAAATGAGGATATCCCTCTTAAAGAGCCACAGTAGATACAGTTAGATATCAGAGATTAGCTAGTAAATTGATTTACCTATCTCATACTCGCCTAGACTAGACATTTACAGTGAGTGAAGTGAGTCAATTTATGCATTCACAACATGAAGAGAAGAACACTAAGAGGTAGTATATAGGATTCTTAGATATCTGAAATGGATTTTGAGCAAGGGATTGTTATTCAAAAAGGATAATCATATGAGAATTGAGGTCTTCACTGATATGAGATCAACTTTAGGATATTGTCCAATTAGTGGAGGTAATTTGGTGACTTGGAGGAGTAAGAAACAAAAAGCTATTGCTTGAAGCACTGCTGAAGCCAAGTTTAGAGTAGTAGCACAAGGTATTTATGAACTCTTATAACTAAAAATGCTTCTAAAAGAATTACAAATACCCATTGGAACTCCTATGAGACTACTGTGACAATAAGGCTGCTATCAACATTGCTCACAATCCAGTGCACCATGATTGAACAAAGCAGAAGTAAATCAACATTTCATAAAGGAGAAAATTGAGAAAGGAATTATTTGCATGCCAGAAGCAACTAGCAGACATTCTTACCAAAGAGCTTCAAAGATCTTCTTATGAGGATTTAACTAGCAAGTTGGGAATGATTGACAACTTCGAGCTAGCTTGAGGGGGAGTGTAGAAAATCCTATAATTAAGAGATTCTGATCTCATAATTAAGGGATTTTATAATCTCATAATTAAGAGAATCTATTCCCTATTTTAGGCCACTCAATCAAGATCAAATCAGCCTATATTATAGGAAATAGATTGGAATGATATACAATCAATTTCCTTAGTTGTACAGTTTGTAATCAGCCTATATATGTCTTCCTTTATATATAGAAAAAAGTATGAATGAGAAAAAAAATATTCTTTTGTGTTTATAAGACATTCTCATTTCAGAAGACACAAAACAATCCAAGGGCAAGGATTACCTTGGGTCGACATAGATTAGAGGTAGCATGCCAGAAAGAATTAGCACATGCCATCTCAACCCATGATGCAGGCACCAACATATGGCTAGGCCAACTTTTAGTTTGTTCCATGACACAATGGCATGCCAACTGAGCTAAAATCATTTGGTGCCGTAAAGCTATTAGAATGCCTTTATACAATGATGATACTACAATCCTTGTCCCAGGCACATATCAAGTTTCCATCTCCTTTCATTGAAATAGTAAAAATCAAATTGGGAATAACATTATTTTCAAAATCACATGAAACCAAAATCCCATCCAAGAAAAAAAAAAAGGATGATCTTGTTTTACCAAAATAAACACCTAGAGAGAAGGAGCATCATAAGAATATGAGAAAGAACCTCTAATCCTACTAAAACCCATTACTAAGAACATATGCTCCAAAACCCTAGAAATTGAGAGAAAAAGAAGTTTTAAATCTAATCAAAGAATTGTTTTATAAGGGCACCTTGCTATGGAGAACTAGAGGAAGTGGTGATGGCAAAAGATGTGAAATAGCTCAGGATTGAGAAGCTGCAGAAATTGCTGGAAGGAGGGTGCAAACATCCAAAACAATAGTGGGTTAACTTGCTACCAAAAGTCTCCGCATGAACATTTACCATTCTCAAAATGATGAAACCTGTTGCAATCTCGTAAAGTGATTTTTCGTCCAACAATCTTAGAAATGTAGCAGAACGCTGAGTGGCAATCCCCACATACCCGAAGGTTCTTCATAATACGTATAGGGACTCTGCAAGAGCGAGTGAGGACGAAAGCAACTGCGAGCTTCTCACTGTGATAACTTAACAACTCTTCTTTTGTCTCCATATCTATATCATATAAAGTGAACTCTGCTTGAGGAACATAACCTGCATCCCTAATCTTCTGAATCAGAACATGTAGCTCAGCATAAATCTCTTCAGTGTTTGGATGTGATCTGTCTCCAGCAACGAAAACATGAAGTCCATCATGTGAAGTGACCCAACTGCGACCTGCTTCTTTCTTAACTGGTAATGTCCTCATAGCTGTTCGAGTTTTTGCTACATCTTCCCACCTCCCTCTAGATGCATACATGCTAGAAATGAGCACGTAATTTACCGGATTTTCAGGTTCCAACTCCAAAAGCATCTCACATGCTTGTTTCCATATGCCACTCTTAGCACCATCTTTTGATCTGCGACAAGCAACTAACACAGTCCTCCATATCAGATTATTTGGCCTCACAGGCATTCTTTTAATGAAGTCCTCCATTTCATTGAGCTTACCTGTTCGGCCTAGAATGTCTATCACGCATGAATAGTGCTCCGTCTGAGGAACTAAGCCATGGTTCTTCATAGATTCAAAATACTTTAACCCTTCTTCCACCAATCCCGCATGACTGCAGGCAGATAAAACACCAACAAAGGTGACAAGATCTGGTTCCTGACCCCATTGTTGCATTTTCCTAAAGACCTCTAAAGCCTTATCTCCATTCCCATGCCTAGCATAGCCAGAAATCATGGAATTCCATGAGAATTCATTTCTCGAATTCATGGACTCAAAAACCCTTGAAGCATAATCAATTCTTCCACACTTAGCATACATATCAACCAGTGCACTGCCCACTACTACATCAGTTTCCAAATGAGACCTTATTCCATAGGTATGTATTTCCATCCCACTATCTAGTGCTGCTATGGATGCACAAGCACTTAGAACAGTGGCAAAAGTGAAACCGTCCATCTTTGGTCCATTATGTATCATGAACCAAACAAAATCCATGGCCTTCTGCATAAGTCCATTTTGAATATATCCAGAAATCATTGAATTCCATGACACCTCATTCCTCCTATCAGCCATTTTACGGAAGAGACACTCACAAGAATCCATCTCACCAGACTTTGCATAGCTTGATAGGAGAGCATTCTCCAGAACAATGTCTCCAGACATTCCATGTTTTAGCACTAGATTGTGAACTTGCCTGCACATTACTATATCTGATAGTGCAGACACAGCAGTAAAAACATTTATGATTGTTACTTTGTTTGGGTACCACCCTCTTCGTGTCATATCTAAGAAAATCCTCAATGACTCAGTCAGGAATACCTTATTGCTGGCCAATGCTCCAATCATACTGTTCCAGGAGACCTGGTCATACTTAGTCATATAGCTGAAAAGTCTCCGGCAGTCAGACATCCTACCACATGCTCCATACATTGTGAGAAGTGAATTTGAAACAGAAACATCCATATCAAGTCCTAATTTAGTTCCAATGCAGTGGACCTGTACACCTGCGCTTAAAAGCCTCAAGTTTGCACATGAACTCAATGTACTAATGATTGCATAATTGGAAGGTTGGATATCATTTCTTAGCATCAGACGAAAGCTTGACAATGACTCTTTAGAAAACCCATTCTGATCAAAACCAGAGATCATGGTATTCCATGAAATCTGATCCTTCACATTCAAGTGGTCAAACACCTTAGCAGCATCATCAACTGCACCACACTTTGCATACACGTTAACCAGCCCATTCCCAATCGCTATGCTTGAGGCTATCAGACCAGTCCTAATAGCATGACCATGAACCTCCATTCCCTTTTTTCTTCCTTCCTCTGACTTTGAGAATTCAGAGATCGCACTCAGCAATACCACATAAGAATCACTATTTATTATTACTGAACCTCTTGTTTCTCTGAACACCTCCACTGCTGCTTCTCCAAGGTTCTGCTTGAAGAGACCCACCATTAATCCATTCATAGAAATAGCATTTTTCTCATCCATTTGTTCAAATATTTCCTTAGCTCTGTCGAGCAATCCAAACCGAGAAAATGCACTAACTAGTGCACTACCCACATAGATATCTTTTGAGAAACCAGACTTAAAAACATTCGCAAGCACTTGCTCAAGAATGCATCCACCATTAGAACAAGAGTAAGTTGCAGTTATCAAGCTGCCATAAGTGGCTTCATTGGGTCTCAAACAACATCCTAAACGTCCGGTTTGCATTCCTGAAAATAGCTCAAAGGCAGAGATGGTGTCCCCTCTCTGTGAGTGCACGGAGATGATCGAGTTCCACGTAATGAAATGCTTGGCTGGTGTCCAATCAAACACTCGCTGGGCATCCCATGTGGAATCCAAACGACAACCACCATACATTGAAATCAGCGCATTACACACCGTTGTGTTTGTCAAATGCCATGTTTTAGAGACCAGCCCATGGATTTGGGTTCCAAGAAACAACCGATCAGGACCTGAGTCCTGACATGCTCGGAGGACACTCCCAAAAGTGAAGCGAGTGGGCTCAAGCCCAGACCGAATCATCAAGCGGAACAATCTGCATGCCTCATCAAGGAACCCGTTCTGGGCGTGTCCAGTGATCAAGCAAGTCCAAGAAACCACGTTCCTCTCCTGCATTTGATCGAACAACTCACGAGCGTACGACAAGTCGCCAGCTTTTGCATAGAGATTGATCAAATTGTTTGAGAAGAACAAGTCTCCAGCGAAGCCTCTCTTGATCAGCTCAAGGTGGAGGCTTTGCGCGTCGCAGGAGTCCATGTACAGACGTGCTTGTCGTAAGAGTCGCGGGAACACCTCATAAGCCAAGTCGTGCTTGTCGCCAGGTCCCTGCGCGGACGTCCTAGAGGACGTCGGGGCGAGGAGGCCGCGGCGAGTCCTTCGGTGCTGCGCGAGGAGTTCATCCAGTGGGATTGGAGTAAGAAGCCGGGACTTCACGCGAGCTTTGGGAAGGATGACATTAGGAGTCGGGGACGGGTTGAAACGGAAAAATGGAGGATTAGAAGAGAAGATGCGAGAATGGAGCGCGGACGAAGTGAGTCGACGCACGAATCGGTGGTTCATCAGCAGCGGGATCCAACAAGAGTCGATCAAAGCCTTGCGCCGCGGAAGAGAAGCAGAATCGGCGGGGCAAAAGATCATGTGCTCAGAAACTGTTCACGGAACACCAGCCCGTTGTTCCCCCAAGCGTTCTCCACCAATGAACAGCAAGCAGAGCGAAAACAGGGCTCCTACTTTTAGACTCCAATTTCTGAAAGAGCCCGCGATAAATTCTTAATTTTATTGTTATAATATATATATATATATATATATATATATATATATATATATAATTAGATCTATTAAATTATTGATTACAACATGCATGATTGTTTTCGCTAGTAAAATAAAGATGTTATCCAAAATTGATTGCTCGAACTGATACACAACAACATGCTACGGCATCGGATGCAAATAAGATAGCAGCAGCGTTCGATTCCTAAGGCTTTGGTTGTGGTGAAATGATCTCAACATGTTTGACCATAACAATGTGCACGGACTGAACAATATATCTATTCGAACTAACCAACAGTTACATTCATTCAAAAAAAATCCTCGAAATTCATTCGGAAAAAAGTGCTTTGCCACAAATGTTACATATCTCAACCATATTATCGTACACAAGGATGACAAGTGATGACTAAGTGCATTTCAAATGAGGATAGCATCATAAAAAAGAGAAAGAAATCCACCAACATTTCCATGACTGGTTCAGAGCGAGCAGTCGATCCCCAGTAAAGATGTGGCACATCGGGATACGCCTTTCTCACCTGCCAAAGAAGAGTAACTAGGTATATTGTCAACTAGAGCTTTACAAATCAGGTATCGATAGGATTTAGTGGAAGAGCATTACCCTTCTGAAAAGACGTTTTTACATGCAAGACTTTGGTAGGGGATCATTTAACATATTATAATGTGTCCCTCCTAATGAAAAATACAAGAATGGTACAATTTCTCAAGCAGAAAAACTGATTACGCCTGAGCAGTCTCCAGCTCCATACACTGCTCGAGAATCATTCTCACGCGAAGCTGCAATTAAGGCTTTCTAAGTTAAAAGTCTTTAACTAAGTAATTTCTTTGTGATCATATATCTACATGAACATTTAAATTTTATACCTTGCAATCCAAACAGGGATCATTAAGCATAGATTTTAGCTGAAGAACAATCCCTGCATCTTGGAGTCTCGCTACCCTTCGGGATGATCCAACACTGGCTGGATCTGTCAGATTGACGAAGCACCATAGAGAAGCCACACGTAGCAAAATATCCTTGCTCTGCAAGAACTTGATCGTAAATGAGGGGATGCAACTATCTGTGTGTGGGGGAACAAGATAATTCATAACCGTATCTTTATCAGACTCACTCCCAGCTGCAATATTGCTGAGCACAAACATTCCCTGAAAGATATACCATAGAGATTATAAGCATCTTAATTTCTACTTGGATCATCTATTTCAAAAATAATCCATTAAGGTTATCCACAAAACCAAAAAATGCCCAAGTTTTTAGAAAGCTCTAGAGATCAAATTTTATTATTTATTTGTATAAATCTTTTTTTTCAATTTTTTTCTAGTGTTTTACTCTTTGTAACCTGAGGTAGCTACTGATATCCAAATTTGATTGGCATCACAAGACTGAAACAATAAGCAAGTTTTCAATCCTGACACTGGTATTTTAGTATCCAATATTTTATGCACCACTGTCCTGGAAAAATATCTATAAAGTATGCCCTTTTTTTTTGTTATTTGCTAACAGCTTCTAGCAGGTGAGAATATATTTGATCTTGAGCTAGAAGATTCCCATTTCATTGGTAATGTTTTGTGACTTATATCCAAGCAGATCCTTTTGAGTCAATTAGTAGAAATAAGAAGCGATGAAGAACAGCAAGATATCAACTAAAAACAAATTTTATATCTAAAAGTACAAAATGATGGCACAGATTAAATACCAACCTGAATGCATACACCTATGGATGATGCATTCTGCAATTGTCTCATAACAGCATCTAGAATAATACTGTCTTCTGCAAGTACATGCTTGACAGATTGACTACATCCATCAACAAGATCACTTGTGAGTGCCAAGGCTTGCTCTTGGATAGAACATTCAGAATCTGCAACATAATACATTTCCGGTCGATTACGCTAACGATCAGTGGATAGAACATTCAGAATGCTGTAAGATGTAATGAGTTTTGTGATTACCATATATCAGGCTAGCTAGAGTACATAATGTTAGCTCCTTAAGGATAAATTCTTTATCTGTTATGTCTGCAAGGAACATCAGATTCCTCAAAGCCAACACAGATCTTGATCGGAGCGCTGAATCCATTGACTTTGATAGTTGAACAAGTTGTGAGACACCTCCACATTTGATTAATACAGACTTTCGAGTTGCACAGTTAATAACAATGTTACAAAGAGCACCAAGCGCAGCAATCTACGAAAAAGAAAAAGAACAATCCATTTGTACAACTGGGCTGTTTTAAATCTACTATGAATTTCAAAAAGATGTTTTTTTTAACAGTCATTTATGTAATGTGAATTTAAATCTTAAACTTAATAAAATACTAGACATGCAATAAACAGATCATAGATATGTTCATTACAAAACCAACAGATAACTAGACTTAATAAATCATAATATAAGTAGAACAGATCCCATTAATGAATCAAACAGCAGTTAGCTCTTTTTTAACACAAATAAAAGTGGATGACAATGACATTGAAAAGTTCACATTGTAGAAAGAACCTTTATCATTTCTACTAATGATATATTAAGCTGTTGATCCCAAATTGTTGGGACCTTACAGCTTGCTGTTGTTGTTGTGATGATACATTAAGCTCTAGCACAACCTTATCAAAGAATGTAAAATAAGATAAAGATCCAGATATATTCCTACTCAAATTCAATTTTGTCAAAGGCGGTAAGGTTCCAAAATGCCCAAGTATGTCCCAAGGATTTGTGGATTTCTAGTATGTTCTAAGGATTTCATCATTAAATTCAAAAGCTTAATCATCAGGAATTGTTAGAGTATGAGTATGAACAGGTGCCCAACAGGTGGACCTAGGATTTGTTCAAAATGGGGCTTGAGGAGTAGGTAAAATTCCTTGATTTGAAGTGATAGTGGAGAATGAACATATCATCTTACCGACTCATCAATCTCCTCATTCATGGGTCATTTTTCAAGGTTTTTGAGAGCTCCTAGGAGTTGGGTCATCTGATCACATAATTGGCTTAATATTGTGTCATGATCTATTAATTTGGTCCTAGGGGTGTCTATCTTACTTTGTTGGGTTTGAAATTCATCAGGATTGTTTTGGTTTTCACCTCGCGAAGTTATGATTCTAATATTATCGACAAATTACCTTTTGGTAATGAGGTTGTTAACTGTTGCAATACACAAGGTAAAAATGCAATGATTCACGTGGTTCTCTTATTTTTTTATAATATTCAAGGTTTTAAATCTTAATGGTACTGTAGTTGCTGTCAAAAGGGAGAGAGGGGGATAAATAGAAAAAAAGGAGAAAATGCAAGGGAGAAGCGATAAAAACCACAACCTGATGAAATATACAATTTTTCTTTCTAACAAAAATATTAGAGAAGTTCTCAAAATTATTGAGCACCGAGAGCTAAGTGGTCCACCAATTTTGTAGGGATAGTCGCCCCAAAGTCCAACTCCACATGCAAGGGGTTGGCATTTGAGGCACAAGGATCCTTAACTATTGACTAAAGCTATTGCTGTTAGTTTGGACCTAATAGGGTACAAGGAAGGTTCTTGATGGCTCTGATACCAAACTAATGTAGAACAGAGTAAGGAAGTAAAGAGAGAGAGGAGAAGAGAAAGAAAAAGAAGTGTGAGACAAGAAAGGAGAGTAAAACACTAAAAGAAAGAAATACAATTCTTTTCATTCAAATGCAATTCATTTCATTCAAATCTGAAGTGCTTCATCCATTAACAAGCTCCACTATTTATAAGGGTTTAGAAGCCTTGTTATAATCAATGAAGGCGATGATTCCCAAAAAAGTAATATCTTACGAAACTTGTATGCCTTTTAAAAATCCAAAATGTGACTTCTAGGATACCTAAATAGTAAATAAGTGCACTTAGTACAAAAATTATTAATAGGTTAGCGCTTAGAAAGACCATAAGACTTTTTAATTTTTCACACAACTCTTAGAATTTCTAGACCAACTAATTAATAACTTTTTGCTAATTTCTTTGCTTAGAATAAACTTTTCTAGAATCCTTTGTAAAGCTAGATGGTTCTTTATCATCGAGACTCTTAGTTAATTGAGCCAAACAATTTGTTCAATCAAGTTCAAATCAACCTAGATTTGGTCTAGGACTAAACTTAATATACTTAGGCTTAGGCTGAGCCAGACGAGTGCTAAGGCCACCTAGTGCGCAGGCACTTGCCTAAGAATGGCCTAAGCCCAATCGCTTGCCCGAACTAGTTACTAGACACTCGGGCATCACTTCGCCTTGCCCGAGAGCCTAGGTGAGTGCTCGAGCACCCGATGACTTCATTGCTCAAATCTCATATTTTTTATAGAAAAAGAACCCATATATTTGCAAATTTTATAAGCATTGTGTACAATATGTAGCATAATGTGACAACTACATGTTAACAAATGGTCAAAAGACAACAATTTTAGAGGTACGCAAGATCTAGAAGATATTAACACTAGTTTTTTATAGAATAATATGCATGCTATTGATTGTTTATGTAACACTCCAATTTAGTATGACATCGAAAGTAAGAAAAGCCTAAGATTGACTTATAAGGATATGATGTAATACTATTAACTTGTACTTAAACATTTTAAGCTACTAGTTTAGGCTCAACGAAGGTAATGAATCAGTTATCCCATCAAATCCGGTGATAACAATTGAGCCTACTTATCATTGGACAGGGTGATTGGCTAAAGTAGGAAAGGGTTACCCTACTATCACCAACAAGTCTATACATAATGTGTTCAATGCAATGTTTTTGTGTCATTGTCTTTTAGTTTTATTCATGCTTTGCACAGCATGTAGAAGACTTACAGTAGGCTCGACAACTCCATTTTAGTCAGCTTTTGTGGTCTTTTCTAATCTGTACACGCAAGTTGTGTGCGATTGTCACATAGAGGCAAAATTGCCTGAAAACAAACCATCCAAATAGCCATTTTGGGTGATTTCTAGGTGTGCAAAGCAGTGCAAAATGTCAGCCAGTTCAACACCGTAGAGCTACTCGGGTGGCATAAGGCTTGGTGAGCCTTTAAGATATTATCTAAAGCTAGTTTGGTGCCTTATTCCATAACAGTATCATGTGGACACTTATAGGGACTTTAGGACATAGTGGACCACCTTGGATGCTTTCTTTGCGATGTTTAGAGCTTGTGAAAACTATCTTTCTATTTCACATGCCTATCAAGTATTTGCTGAAATGTCTGCTTGTGGAATCCCGAGATAAGAGCTTCCTCTAGCACATCTTCTCTCTTGCAAGTCCTTAGGGAACCCTAAGAGGTTATGGAGAGACTGACCTCTTACAAACGGACATGCAAGAGTGTCGCACGACTTAAGCAAAACCAACTAAATCCATGACATTACGTTAGAAGGCACATCATGATGTAAAGCCACTACTAGACTATACCTTTCATGCACCATGCCAGGGTCTGATTCTGGATTATATTGAGACAAGGATGTCCATCAAGTGAGAAGATTATAACACCCTAGTTTACTCTTGTTAAATCCCGAATTTTGATAATGAAATCAATTAATAAGTTTATAGATTAATATGCTTTTAAGATAAGTGACGCAAGAAATACATCGATCAAAGACTCGAACCATCAAAGGGTAAATTGTCAAAGTAGGAGAACCAAACATTGTGCCGGGAAAAGTATCATGTCGGAAATTGGATGTCGAGTCGAAGGATTGGTTGTCGTGCCAAATATTGGACTTCGTACTACAAGGTCGAGCATCGTGCCAAAAGGATCGGGTATTGCACCAAAGATCGGATATCATGGAAAAGTTGATTTGCCGATAGATCGGGCGATACGTCGAAGAAAAGGACGATGTGCCGAAGGTTCGAACGAAGCACCGAAAGATCGAACGATATGTCGTAATGGCATACAACATGCTGAAAAGCTTCGTAATTGTGTCAGATATGTTGTTGAATTATTAAAGTATTGTCTGAGGTCTTTCTGGGTAAAAATAAGTTAGTATTGGGCCGAAACCATGCCAACTTGTTGAGAAAGCCAATAGGCTTGGACTCGAACCGAATTAGGCCCGTTAGAAGGCCAAATAGTGGCCTTGAGCAGGCTTGGGCAGTGGTACCATCAAGCCCAGGCAATTGCCTGAGTCAACCGATAAGCACAAATAGTGCATGTCAGCACTGCCAACGGTGGTACCGCCCATAATTCAAAAATTCTGATGGTAGGACTGCCCAAAAGTCCGAAATTGTGGCTCAAAAGTTGCGATGGTAGCACTGCCAGGTATCAATGGTAGTACCACCCGTACCCCAAAATTTTCGAGGATTTAAAATTTTTGCCTCCATTTCGAAGCCTTTTGGGGCCTATAAATACCCCACTAAAGCTTGGATGATAGAGCATCAAGTTCTGAATTTGTGAACGGTTATAGCTCTCTCTTTGAATAATGTTTGAGTCTCTTCCTCCTTGAGTTTAGAGATGATTCTAAGTTATCGAAGGTGAAGTCTCTTGTAAAAGAGTGTGTGTGGAGGTTCTCTCCTAAGCCTGTTAAAAGGAGAAGAGTTGTAACAAGGGTAGTTGATATTCGCTCGTTGGAAAGAAGATCGGTAGTGAAAGCCGATGGCCTCAAGGGAAGAGGAAACGAGAGTGGATGTACGTCGGGAAGACCAAACCACTATAAATCGATTTACATTCTTTCTCTTGCTTTTGATTTATTGTTGCTTACTCATTTACTTTACTCGCAACCCTTACTCGCACTTTTTGTTAATCGCATTTTCAATATGGATTTATCGATCGAACTTTAAAATCGGATAAAATTTTTTATAGCACTAATTCAACCCCCCTCTTAGTGCCATTACGATCCTAACAATTGGTATCAGAGCTCGATTCTCTCAGTTGGATTAACACCCAAGAGAGATCTAATGACTTTTTCAAGCAATCAAGAGGGTCATTTCATCACTCGTCCTCCTATGTTTGATGGGACGGACTATACTTATCATAAAACTAGAATAAGAATTTTTCTCTTTTTTATGGATTTCGATTTATGGAACGTCGTCGAGTTTGGCTTTCAAAAATCTTTTAAACCAATAAATGAATGGAATGAATTTGAAAAGAGAACATTTTCCTTAAATGCTAAAGCTATGAATACTTTATTTTGTGCTTTAGACAAAAATGAGTTCAATTGAGTTTCTACTTGTGACACCACACATGATATTTAGCACACACTCGAAGTTACTCACGAAAGC